ACAGGTTCTTATACGGTAGTGGTGCTATATAGCACCTTAACCACTCCAAAGAACCGCTGAAGAACCTTTTTTTTTAGAGTGTAGGACTTTGCTGAGGAACCCTTATGCTCAGAAACGGCCCTGGTTACAATATAAACACATGGAGTTATTTATATCTCATCTACAATAATGTACAGTATTTGAAAAATAATGTGTTTTTTGAACATTAAAGCATGTCAACATATTCTGTTACACCACATACACAAAATAATGATGTTTAAAAAAGCATCATATGACCCCTTTAAGGCTGCTTGAATGTAGACATGTTTTAAGTGCTCTCTCTTCTCTTCATCCTCATCTTTTCATTTAATGCATGCAAATATTCTGATGCTAGCAAACAATTATCATAGAAACCCCAATGACGTCAGTGGAGGGGGGCGTAAATGAACAGCTTAAGACAGGCACATTAGTTGGCTTATTTTAACAGCTTTCCTGGAGGGATGTTTGGTGTTTGTCGCACATTACTGCTCTCACTCTTTTTTTTTTTCTTTTTTTTCTCCGCTTTGCGCTCCTACAACATTATTCATGCCTGACTGTGGGGCTGTTTTGTCACATTTCCGTGCCCCAGCAAACCCACACCTCAGCAATTACACGGATTGCTCTTGTTGTTGGGAGAAATTAATGAACAGCTGCAAGAGTATGGCGGAAAAAAGTAAATATCTGTAGTGGACGTTCTCATTAGAAAGGCATTTCAAGCCATTTTGATGTATTAAAACCTTACTGGCCTTTGGTTGATTTGAGAGCTTGCTTGGGTCACATGTTCCCTGGTGAAGATTTGTGTGTCTTAATCAAATTTTATTTCCGTGTTTGCAACAGACCCCAGGCCCGGCACAAGCTCAATGGATGTTGGTTGTCAACAAAGGCTGAATGAGGAAAATATTATGCTTTCCTCTCCAGAGCCATCAGGGCTTCATAGTTGGAGAAACGATGTTGGCAGAGGCCAGTCACTCGCAAGTTAACGCATCTTTTCCTTCTCAAATTATCCCGTTATGGTATAAATCATGTAATCATGCCGTCAGGATGGCGCTCTCCAACATTGAGCCAAATCCAGGAACGCAAGCTTGAAGTTTTCTGACTTTCCTGAGAAGCGTGATGGATTGCATGGAGATGTTCACCTTTTTGCCATCTTTATCTGTGCAGGTACTAAGCTGGAGAGCCTGATGGAGAGCATGCGTGGAGAGATTGCTGCCCAGCCTCCGGTGGAAGGATCCTTTGCCCCGCGCAGAGGGGATTTCTGCATCGCAAAGTTTGGTGATGGAGAATGGTAAGAGCCAAAAAAATCTCCTAATGGCATCTGCTATAAAAGCCGAGTTTCCTGGTTTCAGCAAAAGACCTTTTCATTTATTAATTTATTTTAATAAATAAATGTAATAAAATATTTGTCAGAGCTGCTGGGCAGGATGTTCTTGTCTAGTTTTGAGAGGTAATGATGAGTCATCTTGCTGATTTGGCAAGTGTGTGCAGGTGATTGGTGTTTCAAGTAATAACGCACCGTTATTGAAATTGTGGCACATGATGATAATTATATTTTTGTTATTGCTGATAACCAATAAATGGCCGGTATAGTTGTTTTAAATGCTACAAATACATTTCGGTATCATTGTATCAATGTAAAAGTATGTATGTAAGTATGAAAGATAGCATGAAAGATTTTATGGTAACACTTTAATATAGGGACCAATTCTCATTATTAACTAGTTGCTTATTAGCATGCCTATTATTAACATATTGGCTGTTTATTAGTACTTATAAAGCACATATTGTGCATGACCATAATCTACAGTCCCTAATTCTACCCAATACCTAAACTTAACAATAGTGCTGGGCGGTATGACCAAAAATTTGTATCACGGTATTTTTCAAAATTATACCGGTTTCACGGTACATGACGGTATTTTTTTTCATGCATGACCGGGTGTTAACCATATTTTCTACTGATTGAGAGAGGAAATACTGCAGTATATTGACTTAGAATGCCCTATTTTACTGTCATGATGAGTGAATATTGTCAAAAAATACCACACTAAATAGTGACTAAACATGACCCTTTTTAATACATGTTAACCAGGAGTCACTCTCATTTATAATCGCGGCATCGTCTGATAAAATCAACATGCATCTACACTATGCTGTTGTTTTGGCTATATTACTTTTTTGTCTCATGCAGCTCACTGCCTGCGTCTGAGTAACAAACTAAAAAAAACAACAAACAAAAAAATGCATGTGATATTAACAGACGAACTACGCTCATATTTATAATTCCAAACAATCAGTAAGCGACAGGTGCTAGGAAACGCTGTTTTGTACTCATGTACTGACGTGTCGGCTGCGGTGCGCTGCTTCTCTGCCGCTCACTGCACAGAACAGACGCCGAGAGAGGTCACACTTCTCCGGGAAAGTCAGACCTCGCGTTCGCGGGAAAGCACTGGCGAAATCTTCCAACTGAACCATAGCTAAGGTTTATCCAAAAAAGTCGCTAGGTTTGTCAGTATGAATATTCTATGGAAATTTTTTACTCCCTAATATCGGTATCGGCCCCAAAAAACCCATATCGGTCGGGCTCTATTAGTAACACATACAGCTGTTCCCTCTCCACAGTGCACCAGTGAAAATGGACCCCTTTCAAACAGTGTCGCTTTCCGAACGTTGTTTAAGCGACATACTGCAGCGGTATTGCGGTATTTTAAAATTTCATATCATAACAAAAATAAACACCGGTATTCGGTATGAACCGGTATACTGCCCAGCACTACTTAACAACTACCTTACTGTTAATAAGCAGAAAATTAGGAGTTTATTGAGGCAAAAGTCGTAGTTAATGGTGAGAATTGGACATTGAAGTAAAGTGTGACTGATCCTTCTTTTTTTGGGGGGAACTTTAAGTGAGAGTTAAATGGCAGTTATTATTGTATAATGCCAAATTGCATTGAACAGTAATTAAAAATTAAAGGAAAAATCTATCTTAATATTGGAATATTATTATATGTTGCTAACCGATGTGTGTCTTTAATTTTAAGGAAAGATGACTTCGGAGGAAAAAGAATAAAAGCAGAAAGGCAGCATTTCTCAGCAGGCTATCTTCACAGGGAAATTGCTTTAACCTCATATTCATTGTTGAAATAGTTTTACATTGAACCATCTGTTGGTTGTGGGTATTTTTCAGTTTACTTAAATTTTATATTGGGGTAATCTGCCCTAGATTGCAGGGTATTGGACTGCTCTAATGAGTCCTTTGTCCTTTAGGGAGTCTGGAAGCTTCTATTGTCCTCATATAGACTCTGAACAGGCTGCATCCTCAGTGGGGCGACTCGTTACTCAAGCATCTGCTGGTGTTTTTGTTGACGTCATCTTGCTCTTTTAAAAACTCGTTTGGCTCCACCCAGCAACATCCCTAGAATTTCTCCTTTAATTGCTTACAAGTTTTTCTTAGTTGTTCTGTTTTTTTTTTCTTTTCTTTTTTTAAGCATGTTGTCGTGTTTGTTATCTTTCTCTATATCCCAGTTGGCTCATGTTTTCCCACGATGCACCAGGACTATGACATTCAGTGGCATAAGAGCTCATTAAGTCTGTGATACTAGCAGAAAGACATTTTTCAGAGCGGGCATCCCTGGATCAGGCGGGGGGTTTTGGATGATTGAAGTGTTTTAGCATAAGTGGATGGTCTGGAGTGGGTTGGAATGTCTAAGTTTGATTATATGAAAACGAAAACTCTTCTTTGACTTTTTCCTCTTGTTTGAGGTGTCATGCAGAGCTTTGAACTGCTCTTTATGAATATAAGAGGCTTCTTACTCTTTCAGAGCATGAGGTTATGAATACAAGATCAACTCCCTCCTGAGACCCTCATAAAAGATCTGTCTGTACTCTACAGTTAGGGGCAGTAAACTAGTATTTTGCTCTTTACAAAAGTGAATGTTTTTAGTTAAGTGAAATTGGAGGTCACGTGTACCCCGGTACTGGTGCCCAGTGTGGCCCCTTTCAGTCATTTCCATGTAGAAAAGGCAGTTCGGAGCCAAAAAGAGTACCAAAGTGCCATTTGGTGGCAAAGCCAAACTTTTCCTGTTCAGGTGTTCTACATCAATTTGTCCAGTGCTTGTGGATGAACTGCTGAAATGATTTCTCCTCTGATCAGTGAGTGGAACTGACACTTTCTTCTCTGTCTCTCCGTAGGTACAGAGCTCGCGTCGAGAAAGTTGAATCTCCAGCAAAGGTTCATGTGTTCTACATCGACTATGGAAACGTGAGTATCTGCTTGCAGGGAGGTTGATGCGTAATCTGGATGTAGCACAGCATCTCCTGAGTGGAGCGTCTCTTTAGAAAGGCACTGACTGATGAATGTTCTGACTTGTGTTTAAAATACTGCATATGCTTTCAAAAGCCAGCACTGAATCCATCAGTCAAAATGCCACACATGTGGAAAACAATTCCACTCCATAAATCCAGAATAAATAATGTTAGTATGCTTAAAAGCAGCTTGAAGGTTGCAGTACCCAGCATGCTTTGCTGTTTTTGTGCCCGGGGCGGAAGGCTCCAGGCCAGCACAAGAGAAAATATGCAGGTGGTCATGTGATTGAACATTTCTCACACAACAGGCCTTTTCTCTCATCTCTGTATTCCCCGTGCTTTCCTCTTTCTTCTCTTTTCACAGACTCTCCACCTCATTCTTTTATTCTATTTGCCCACATATCTTAACCCTCGGTGCAAGAGCATTGTGCTGAATCTGATATCACTGTTTATTGCTCAATCACTCTAATTCGCTGGACAGAGTGTTTTGAGGGACAGATCTTTATTTTAATGCCCCATCAAACGTTTATGGCCTAAATTCTTCTTTTTGGGGGGGTCTTTGGTCTAAGTGTTGTCATTTTGATTTTATATAACAATCTGACAATGTAGAGAAACTAGCAGATCTTAACTGTAACAAAATCTACTGTAATATACATATAATTTGACATATTTTAAACATTCTCTTTAATATTATAAAATGCATGTAACTGATTACATGAATATGTTAAGTCAGAGTTCATCACATTATGAACATGATCCACTCAAGTTTGACAGCCAGAAATTGTCATTGTCTTCATTCTGAGAAAAATATTTGTTGTTTTGTGATTTTTAAACATATTGTTTGATTCAATTTGCCTTGATTTAATTACATTTACTAATCCCATTTCTATGAAACATAAATAGAGAGAAATGCATTGACATTCAAACACTTCCAGTACTTTAGTACTGTACATTTAGTTCTGGAACTAAAGCGGTGCGAAAGGCCCTACTGTGTCTAAATATTTCTAGGCCCACCGTGTGCTTGATGTGTATCCTCTGAAGAATTGCTGTATAACCCCCCACGTAGAACAAGCCAGTCTTTTTGCTTTGTACTTTCATCTGTCTTCGGTCTGATTTTCCATTTTCTAGTCTCTGTCTGCCTGTATTTGTCATTCTCAAAGCTGAAACGAGCCTTTGCGGCATCTCCGTGCTAACCAGCCTCTTTAGCCTGCTGCGTTCACATGTTCTGCACTAAAGACACATGAACACAGCGCTCAACTGTGACCCAGTAGAGAGAGTGTGTGTCTCTCATATAGTGTTGCTGGCTTTGAGTGTGGCATGTGGAGGAGTTAAGCGTTATCCTTGACTTTGCTTTTATCTGCTGTGCTGTACTCACACCTCCTCCGTTTAATGAGGACCTTGTACAGGCAGTCAGTGTATGAAAGGGGTATGAAGCCTGTTTTATAACACCACAATGTGACGATCTCTCTCTCCTGTCCTTTCAGAGAGAGATATTATCCTCCACGCGTCTTGCAGCCCTTCCTCCAGCCTTCAGCACGCGTACGCTTCCTCCACAGGCTACAGAATACACATTTGCCTTCATTCAGGTCCCACAGGATGTAAGTTCTTGCACAAACACATTCATATGCACTCCCATGTGATTCATCACACAACGTGGCCTTCTAACGGGTCCTGTAGGACACATTGCGCATGCACGCACAACATAGTCACATCCAGGTTATAAAAGACAGGAATTATGAGTCACATCATGCTAGTTTAGCTGTTGGAATGGCATACTATCGTATTTCTGCAAAGTATGCTAATTTTCTGCATAGAATAGCCATACATTACAAGTGTAAAGTATACAACAAGAACACACTACATTGCATTAATTGTTTTTGTATGTAATGAGCTCATGTGATGTAACACATGTTATATACTTGGGGCCCTATGATTTCCGTGATGTGGAAAACGCAGATAGAATCTTGGAATCCAGCCATAAAAGTGGAATTTACTGTATAACGCAGAATGTCACGGAATATTATTTTTTTATTTTATATAAAATCAATTATTTAGAAATGCTTTTGATTATTTAAATTTAATGAAACATTCAAATTAAGTCCAGAAAATTAATGTAAAACAGAATTTGGAACTACATTTAAGAAAAATAGGAAAAAAACGTATTTCATAGGGCCTTAAAAATGTAATTTTGGATAAACTGTTAACAAATTGCCATTAAATTGTGTAAGTTTCATGATTTCAACTAATTAGACATGCTTTTTGATTAATAAAATTTAATTTAAGCATTAAAAACAGTCTAGAAAAATTAAAATTGAAAAAAAATGGGAAAAAAATAAAACAGAATTTGGGAAAAAATAAAACTGGACCCTATAGTTCCACACTTATATTTCCCACTTTTACGGACTTTTAAATTAAATGTTCCCTCCTGGTGGAATGACATGTCTTTTTATTTTTTTTAAGAAATTGAGTCCCGATGTCCTCTACCAAGGACGAAGCATAACTTATGAATGAAATATAATTAAAAAACTTTTTTTTTTTTTTAATGCTCTAAACAATGTAATGACATGAAAAAATAAACATTTTTTCCTAAAATGTTTTGCCGGGTCTTAAGAGGTTAAAATATAAATTAAAATAACACTTGCTTTCTAATCTTTTTGTATTTTATCTGTTTTCTTTTCTTTTATTATAGGCCTACAATTAACAAAAGCAAAAAAGACCTCTAACAGAAGCTTGCTCTATTCTTTTTCTATTCTATCTGTTTTCTTTTTTATTTATTATATTATTTAAAAAACCCTTGCTACGTGTAATGCGTTAAGCTAACTGAGACTTGTTATAGCACTTGTATATCATTGCTCTTTTGTTGATTTTGATTGCTTCCATTGTCCTCATTTGTAAGTCGCTTTGGATAAAAGTGTCTGCTAAATGTAATGTAAATGTAAATGTATATACTCAGCGTCAACAGTAAGCATTATGCTAGAATGCTGATATTCCAGTACAAGCCTTTTTGTTAGCTGAATTGTGTGAGGAAATGCATATGAAAGTAAGTTTTCCACCTGGTCTGTGTGCGGAGCTTGATTGTGCGCGTGTAGGTGTGTGTGTGTGTGTGTGTAGGTGTGGCATCATGCCACCTGCCCTGTTAATACTGCTGTTTTGTGATCTTGTCCATCTTTTGAGGTAGGCGCATTGTTCTCTCTATCTCTGTCTCTTTCTCTCGTTCTGGATGGCCTCTGTATCTCGTACCCCCACCATAACTCCCCCCAAGGGGAACATGCTCTGAGGTTGCCATGGAGACTGGGTTGGCTCACAAGAGCAAAGTGTGTGTGTGTGTGAGAGCGAGAAAGATCAGATCTGTATCTCTCACCTCGTGTGTCAAACATTTGTGAAACATTGTGTTGGTGTAGAGGTATTTTGATCTGTTTTTTTGTTTTCAAATCTACATTTATCATTATCGCAGCGCTTGTGTGTAAGTGTGATGAATGAGCAACTCCGCAGCTGGAGCTGGAGTCTGATTGGCTCAGAGCACACACTGAGGACTTTGAAGTGTCTATCAATAGTGTGTGGAATTGTAAGTGTTTGTGTTGTGGGCAGTTTGTAGAAATCAAACCTGGTTTAGGATGAATGGATATGTGACATGTTCCTTTGATGACCTCACCCACAGGAAGACGCACGGACCGACGCCGTGGACAGTATGGTGAGGGACATTCAAAACACACAGTGTCTGCTGAACGTGGAATACAGTGGAGCTGTCTGCCCACATGTCACGCTGCAGTTTACTGACTCGAAAGATGACGTGGGTCTGGGTCTGGTGAAAGAAGGCCTTGTCATGGTGGACGTACGGAAAGAGAAGCACCTGCAGAAAATGGTAAGTGACAAACACACACGCATCTAAATACAAGAACCTGAATAATGAGTGTGGAGCCACTGGTCAGCTAGTTTGAGCCAGAGGCGGCATTAGCTTTAACTGGGATCTGTTGTAATCTATGTGCCCTGAAATACACCTCGCTGTTTCACAGCAGGGCCTCTGATGGCAGCCATTTTGTATTATTATGAAGCACTGACCATTTGTTCTCCCCTTGTTATCAGTCTCGCTCTCACTTCCTCTCTTTCTCCTTTCCTGTTATGTAATGCTTGTGCCATTTCTTGAGCATGTTTAAAACTTGCTGCATTCATTTGTGACATTGTGTCAAGCGCGTACAAACACACTGCCGCTCACACAGGACCTTAGAGGACTTAATTCAATAGTTTGAGCATTTAGATCTCTTTATTTAAAAGCTGTTTTTACTGTCAGAGCTTAGTTTATTCTAGGGCTGCACGATTAGAGGAACAAATTATATTTTCTGATCAAACTCAATGATTTAAAGTGGGTTTTTTTTGGTTTTTTAAATGCACAATGTGCCCCAAAATTTTACTTGTATTATTATTATTATTCATTTATTGTTAAAACATTAAAATAAAAAATACTATTGTAATATTTCACTGTAAAATAAATAATTGTATTCATTCAGTGCAACTGTAAAATTACAACACTAATACTATAATTATAACTTAATCACACAGTGGTGTTTATTTCATTAATGAAAACTATGATGAAAAATGTTTGTTGACAAGCTTTTTTTCCCATCACTAAAACAAGACAATGACGAGATGACAATAAGGTAAACTCTTTCAACATACAGTAACAGTGCGATAAAAGATGAGACTAAAATGTATTTTAAAAATAAAAACTATACAAAAATCTTGTTTTATTTTCTACTAAAAAATTAGACGAAATATTATTGCTGTACATGCCTCTACTATGCAAGCTTTTGTGTGTGGTTGAGTTCAAATCCCTGTTAAAAGGATACATTTTCTGCCCGGTGTTTTGCTTAATTTTGGCAATCTGGCAACCATGTGTACGCACTCACTCTTCATTACAGAAGTGCTGACGATGATCTGAAAATGTTCTTTCATGAGATCTTGACTTTTTTTTTTTACAGACAGAGTGCATATCTAAGTTTTTGATATTAATTTATACATTAAATAACCTATAATAAATCAGTGCACTAGATGAGGTCAAATAAACCATGTGTATGAGTTTCAGATGGTTTGTGCTTATTGGTTGAAAGTGCAATACCTGAAATGTAAAAATTAATTTCTCAAATGACAACAATCATTTCGATTATAATTTTGAGCTATAGAGAGAGAGAGACATTTAGTCGACTAAAACTTGACTAAACAAAAACAGGACAAGGTTGACTATGATAACTAAAAAGTACATTTGACACAGGACTGAGACTAAATCACTAAATCACACAGCCCGAGTTTACACATTTAAACAAGCTCTGGAAACTTTCATTTAATAGCTGTTTATCACGCTTGGAGGTAAGACTCTTAATTGCTTACAAACTTCTCCCTCAGTTTGATTTGAGACACTTGAACCCATTCTTTGATCAGCTATTTATCCTGTGACCTTTGCCGCCCTGACGTAATTTGTTTTTACTCCTGAATCAAACCACACAGGTTTGTTCTTGGCAGTCTGCTTGTGATGAACTTGAAGCGGTTTGTAGACTCTGAGCATATGGAGGGTGTTGTGACAGCCACGTCAGGTCCACCGTTTCCCTGTTCCCATAGGAACACTGCTGTTCTGGTTCACTCGTCCCCGCCTCTCACTCCCTCGCGCTTTCTTTCTTCATTTTCTATTGTGCTAACAGGTTGTTTGAGGTGCATGTATAGAGCTGAGCTGTCTGACTTCGGTGGCACTCACTTCTGCTCCTGTTTCACACTCCCATAGATATGTGAATCACATGTGCTCTGGCATACTGTACCTCAGATACTGTACACATGCTTTAGTTCCGCATTACAGCTCAATGTACATCCAAAGAAAGCTCCAGTAGTTTTGAGACATGTAAACATGGCTATAAATGATTGTCAACTGAAAGTGTTTGAGCATCCTGATCAGCCCAACACCACAACATTGGTGTTGTGAGTTTATGGGCAGGACTATCTGTTTGACCGACCAATGGCAGATAGTGTTCAGGAAACTGATCATTTTTGCCATTTCATTCGGTGATGCTAGTTGCACAGAAATTAGTGAACTGAACATGGAAATATTCCATCATCTGAACATTGTAATATATGTTCCAAAAACAAAGTCCGTGCCACTTTTCCTGCCATTAATGCAGACTTGTACATTTATAAATGTGTAATAACTATCTTATTACACTATTACATTCCATCATCAGTAAATGCACATGAAGGGAACATCCTGTATGCCAGATCGAGTCCACAGTCTGGCTAGCATTGGCACTTTAGTATAGTGTGGTGGCGCCATGCCACTTGTCTTCTGCTTTCACCCTTGGCTTTTTCATAAAGATTCTCTCATCTCACTCTCTCCTTCATTCATTATCTCTCCCACTCACGCTCTCTTTCTCTGTCCTCTCTCTCTCCTTCCCCATCTTTTCTTGCTGCTGGTTTGGCCTCCAGTGCAGTACACCCTGTGCAGGAGGATGTAGTTTGGAAATTTGCATGTATTTACATGTCGGTGAAAGCGGTGTGATAAATCATAATCTGCAGGATTAAAGACAAAGCAGTGGATCAAACCTTAGTAAATTAGCTGTGATTTAAAACACTGTTAATACGCAGTGATTATTTACTCTGCCTTCATAATACACGCTGCCATCCCACCCGTGACCCCACACCCCTTTGTCTGTCTTGTGATATTTTATTCCTTTTAAACACACTGTGCTCTGTGATCTTTTTTTCCCAACATCCTCTCTGCTGCTGAAGGGTATCTGCCATGCTTGACACCTGACTTCCTGCTATCAGCAAATCTTTACTCTGCTGAAGTCTCCAGACCAGAGTCCATACGTCAGTCCGTCCGTCACATTCACTGTGGTCTAGTGAGAAATTAGTCCTTGAATATCCGTATAAGGAGAACGAAAAAGGGAAAGGAAATCTTTAGAGTGAAAGTAGGAGTCAGATATGGGAACGTCTGTCTGACAGGGAGAGAGTGAAAGATAAGGCCCACCGGTTCTCTTTCTCTCCAACTGCGTGCGGATAACGCAGGCCTTTCGATAAGTGTGCATGAGCTTCATCAGTTCTCGGGATCGATAGTTGAAATCGATGTGTTATTTCCCTCCCTGTGTTTGTCAAACACTGCTCTTTCTTATTTCTGTGTTAGTCTGTCTCTCTTTCTCTGATTTTCTTCCTCAACCTGGCATGCTGGATGAGAGGTCTGTGTGTTATCGGACGGGATGCGATTGAAAGGGCCGAATTCACGTCAAGCTGTTCTGAGGTCAGTTTAGTAGTGCTGCTTCTGCATTTAAAGCTCAGTGGGCTTTTAGTGGGCTTCTCATGCAAAGGCTTTTCCAACAAGGTCTGCAACAATGCACTACAACAAGATCAGTCAAATTAACCTAATCCAAGATGACAGAGGAGTCAAGAGAAGTAATTATACATCATTTTTATTTAATGCAAAAAAGGGTATCTAGGTAACTGTCTATTTAGGCAGCAGGCAACAAGCCAGCTCGCAGGGTTTGGTACAGAGGTTCCTTGTATTTATGCTACATCAGCGCTAAGCTTATGCTTACTGTAGCGTACCATCAGTGACTCTGGTGCCTTTTCACGTTCATTAGTTTTACAAGCTAATTACAAGCTCACATACCAATTAGCGTTACAGTCATAGAGTGCAGTCAGTCTTATTGGAGATTTGTTCTGGGAGATTCTCCTTAAGCATCCAGTATTGACTTAGATTGTTGATTTAAAAGGGCTAAACTCTGGACTTATCATTTCAGAAAGAGTTTGTTGCTGTAATGACCTTCCCTTGGAGACATTAATTAAGGCATGAAAGGTGGTCTGATCTCAGCCAGAGATGTTCTACAAACCTGTGGTGCTATTGATGGCTTGATGAAACTACAGCACTGTTAATATCTATCTTTCTCACTGTCATATTCTGGTGATATTGAGTTGTACAATCCAGATGGTAAAGCCCAAGGGAGGTGTAGTATTTTTTATTACGATTGTTATGTGATGAAATTGTCCTATGAGAATTGTAGCTTTTTAGCATTTTATGGAAGGTCGTCTAGGGTTTAAAATAGTGGTTTATATTTCTGTTACTCACCTGTTTCATTCCTTAAACATGTCTTTAATTTGCTGAATTAATTGCTATGAAGGAACCCACGTATAATGAGTTTGCCTGAGTCCAGTTGGACATATTGCTTAGGGGGCTTTTGGTAAGATGTTTTTCAAGTTATTTTTAACTTGACACATCATTAAATGACAAAATTAAACAGCCAAAGTCTCAGATTGTTATTTCATCTCAGCTAAAATACAATCAGGCGTTTACAGGGCACCCCATGTCCAGTCATATCCCATCATGCCTCGCTCCTGACAACTCCATTACCCATTAACCAGTAGAAGTTAGCTAAGCTTAGAATGGGGAATTTTCTGCTCCTCTAGTATCAAACACACACTCATCCACACAAATGGGCCGGGACACATGCTGAATGACACGCATCGCTGCCTAAAACCCCATTTCATTCCTGTGCCCTGTGGATTGAACACAGGCTTGATCTGGGACAGAGAAGCCATTTCAGCTCCAGCGTCTTTCTGTTGTTTAATCTCTGTACTGAGATGATCAAAGTCCAAACTGTTCTCTTCGAATGCTGTGCGGCTGTGTCTATGATCGCTTTGATTTTCAGGCTGCCTGCATTACTGGGTATTATAGAGTGTTTCTAAGAACACCGCAAATCTGATCACTGTCCCATCATTTCATGCCGAGAGACTGTAAAAGACTCAGTTGCAGTCTGCAGATTGGTAAAACACAGCCACCTGAACCCACAAGAGTGAGGGCTATGAATAGAGGACACAGAAATGGCACTTGGAAAGG